CCGAAAACCGCGTTTCTCCAAAGTCTCCAAGCAGATCGGTAACGACAGCAAACCAAAACGGCGGTGAGCGATGTGGAATACCCCTACACACTTCCTTCTGGAAGGAAGCGCTGTCCGACTCTACCCCAACTGTTATGTTTTATGTTGATTCCGACAATTAGTTTATTGAGATAACATATCATTGCCTCTGGCAGGGCAACAAAGACCCTCGATATAAAGAAAAGCACTAAACGCATATTTTCTTTTACCAAAAGGACTCTACAACTGTATGTTAAGCTGATTCTACCGATCGGTCCTTGCTAATTTGCAGATAACCGATCTCTCCATCATTCTTAAAGCTTAAACAGATGGCAGCGTTGATCCGGATTAACTCGGACTTAATCCGGATCAACTGCAGTTAATTTTCGGATCAACGCTGCCGTCTGTTAAAGCTTTTATGTGCAGATTTACCAGCCTCTCAAGCGTATTTAGTAGATACGAAAAGAGAGACTTCTGCAGTAGGATGCGTATGATACCGTGGAAAGCTTGGTTTACAAAAGTCGATAGCCCATTGCAGGATATGTTCATCTATTAAAGATAGTCTATGTAAGATCTGAATGTTTTTTTTTTTTTCAGTGTACACGCCAAATATAAATCATTGACTGCCCGCCAGCTTGACTGCTTGGCTGCCCAATTCTTCTGACTCAGCAGCTAAAATCACTATTATTATGCGGCTGACGTTAGCTTTGCGGTTGAGTGCTGTTATGTTTATGCAGAAAAATGCAACAGGAGCAGCAGCTGCATAAACAACAAAAACAAAATTGAATGCGTGTAAGCAAACAATAATTTGATTGAAAAGCCCAAGGAGAATGCAAAGCGGCTAAAAGATCGCGGAAGTTTCTGCTTGGTTTAGCGCGACAGCACGCACATCAATGCACATACATATGTACATATGTATGTATGTTTATATGTTCGCTTGCATCAATGTTGCTTTGTTTATACATACATATTTAGTACATATTTATGTATCTCTGCATCACCACCTGCCATCCAAAATATATCTAAACAGCAACATTGCTTCGCAAAGAGACCGCACCGCATAAACATCAAATGGAGGCGTAACAATGCGAAAAAAGCGCAACTCCGCGGGCTTTCAACTGAAAAAGTGTGTAGAAAGAAAAAATGTCTGCAACAAAAAAAAAAATAGACCACAAAAGCAGCTGCTAATGGCATGCTCGTGAGTATGTTTGTATGTATGTGCAATATTTTGTAGTTGTGGTTGGAGCTTTGCTTTTGAATTTTTCCATTGTTATTGCAGTTGTGCAGCGTTTTTCAAGCCTCTAGAATGTAGCAGCTTAGTAGCTCAAATACACCCATGCAATATGTTATGCAATGATAAGGAAGACGGTGGCATTTGTATTGTTGTTTTAAATTTTTTTTTTTTCTTTTGAATTTTTAAAAATGTTTTTCTTACCGCTGTGATTGTTGTCGGGTATTGCATTCTTAGTTGCTGACGTTTTTGGCCCCACTACATCAGCAACATATGGATTTTATGCAGAGCGAAAACACACACGCAGGCGTACACACTTATGTACATACATACATACATACATACATAGCTACCTTAATATAAAACACACTTTTTTCGTCAGGTTGCTATAGAAAACTTGTGCTTCTCTTATCGATAGAAAGAAATGTGCAATAAAAGCAACACCGAAGACTTTAAAATCTTAGCCAACCCACTTGTGCACCATCGCGGGTAAAGCCGCAGCACTGTTTGTGTTTGCTACCAACAGCTTTTTGCTTGTTTATGACCACTAATTGCAGTTGCTGCTTAAATTTATGCAAACTAAGACATCAACGCAACGCCACTTAGCCTGAGCGTCAAGCAATCAAACTCCTGGGTACATACCGGCATCCATGCGGTGGGGATGGTGGATAGCTCATTTTTGCCTCAATATTTGCACTTATCGCGCGATATTAGCAATTCGCGCTGAAAGAGAGTGTGTGGCAACAACATGACAAAGTGCAAGTTGTATGCTGCCATCTACAAGTAAAGTAGATTGTGGTCTCTGTTGATGGCTGGTAAACGCCCACCATAAGCTCAGCTGCTTTGGCGTTGGTGAGTGGTGAGTGGTGAGCCTGAAGCGACCAGAAAATTTGTTCATAGAAAAGAATTTAAATGAAAAAAGAAACAAGGGAAAGAGTTTCCGCAAATGTTGGCAACGATTTTCCAATAATTAGCGCTGCATATAACTACATACATATACATATGTATGCACTTATATATGTATGTATGTACTTTTAGGCTTTGTCAGGTAAAGGTTTCTTGGGAAAATTCAAGTCATTAATGGCCTAGGGAGTATTTAGTGCCTTGAGAAAAAATAATTTATTAAAGGGACTATAGAACAGCGTGTCTTGGAGCACAGATATGCCGATGAAAAGTGTTATTAATTAAAACCTAACGGAAAATATTAAAATATCAGCTCTACTCGTTTATTAGCTTAATTAATATTAATGATTTTAATAAAAAGCTATGTATTTTTTAAGCTTTGTTCTCACAATGCTTGATGTAAAATATTTTTACTATGTACATTTGTACCCAGTCGGAAAAGTAGTATGGCATTACATGCGTGATAAATAATTTAATGTATTTCTTATGAGTTTTCGATTATATTACTGATAATTATGTAAATTGAGTGCTCCATTGTTCTTAGGATATCGCCCTGGGGAAACAAATGCATTCTCGAATGTGAAAAGGGTTCTTTTACTGATTATTTTTTTTTCGATTACTATACATTACATTTTCCCACTGGCTATGCAAGTACTATGTATATGTATATTAGGCATATGACTGTTTTCTAAAACTAATTATACCTGCGTATGTAAGAGGAGAGGATGTGGAATGATAATAAACCGAAACAAATTTCGTTTTTGTAAAAAAAAATGTCATACAAATTTCCCACAGGCAACTTCGAGAACAAAAATTTTTACTGGAAAATTCCATGTCAATCGTATTATGACTGCAATCAAAAATTGTTTTCTAAAGCTTTTTTCCGTTGACTTAGATCCATGTATGTATGTATGTATATATGGCTCTTCACATGCCACATAAAAAATCATATATGTACAATTAGGGTGGGTCAATTGCTCTTTACTAAATTGTATGGTATCTTCTGATTTTGCACATTGATTTTAAGCGAAAATATAGAAGAAACCATGGGCCAGAAATGAGTTTCGAGCCTGCGCATTTTTAAATGAAAAAGTTACCTTTTCACGATGTTGTTATTGTTTTTGGAATTTTTTGTTGAAAAAGTACTCAATTTCTCCATATAAAAAAAAGATCGCCTTTTGTATGGAAGAAAATGCCCCATACGGTCTGAGAAAAATTGGCAAAATCAACGGTAAGTCCGAGCTAATTGCACTTTATTCTCATAAAGATGAATGGACTACAAAACCGTATACTCAAAATCTTTCTAAGACATCAAACTAAAATGCTTACAATTTTTACCAAAATTTATTGAATTTATTTTTAAAAATTGCTGAAAATTTGAAGCTTGAATTTGTAGAATTTTTTGTTAAAGAGTAAACTAAATCTTTACAAAAAAATAACTAAAATTAAATAACAAAAAAATTAATTGTTAAAACTGTTCAGTATGTGGTGCGTTTATAATTCAAAATGTCATTAATCAGTTGAAAAATAATAAAAAGATAAAAAGAAGCTATAATTTTTGCCAATGGAAACATTTACTTCATACATAGTTACTGTGCACAACTTTAAATATTTTTTAATATTTCTATAAATATTAGATATATCATTTTTATAATTTTTATTGAAAACGAAAGCATTTAATTTTACAACACAAAAACATCTTTTTTGAAAATTAAGTGTGGCTAAAATTCATCTTTGAGTGCACAAAGGTAAAATATAGTTCTTTTCAGTCACAGTCACTCAAATGCTAGTTACATAGAACTAAGAAATCGTTTGGTATTTTTTTAATGAATTTTATGCATTAATTATCCTTCTATGTTAATATTTAAATAGCTTTTGCTGTTGCGCGACATAGTTAGAATTCAGCATTGATCACATTATTTAGTAAAATGTCCAACCAGTCAAAATGGAATGGCCCTTTATAGTTTTGAGGCTATATTTGCCTTAAAAATTTGGGGACGTTACTTAAAACGGAAGCGATATTGAAATGATCATCAAAGTCAACAGATTTCTGCAAATTTTCATTTATGTACAACGCAATCTACAATAATATTTTGGGTATTCGGATAATCCGGATACCCAAAAAATCTAGATAGAACTCCCAGCCCTAGTATGTACGATTCATAAATTAATCATTGGTTTTTTATAACTATTATGGTAAAACTAGGTATAGTATGCGAATGCCGAACTTTAGAACACTGCGGCCGTAGTATTTAAACTGTCCCCCTATGTATTACCTCAATAAGTTTTTCTATCCAATAATGGGCAATTCAAAAACTATAACTCCTCACTAGAGAATCGTGCCAGATGGCCAAGAAAAAGGCCTACTGCGTTAGTCATCCCCAATGTGTATTCACTGAACTTTTTCAGATTCGTTACAGTCCTTCAAAGGTCGAAAGACAAATGGCCTGCTGCCAAAACCACAAAAAGTGATCGCATTGAAAGATACTCAGGCCAATACGGAATACCAAATGTACTGAGTCACGTGACCATTACAAAAGAAAGCAACTGGTTTATGGAAATGTGCGGCATGGCATCTATATGTACATCCATATGTATGTATGTAAGTTTATGCAGCGTGAAGAACGCAAATATCATGAGCGTATGTATGCCTCAAGGCAATGACTAGGTTGGGCACCTTAACCAAGTAATGACACACACTCGCCAAGAACGCGACAGCAGAGGATTGAAAGTTAATTGTTAAAGTTGCAATAATTATTTCATTAAATTCAAATTTAACTCAAAGAAAATGTTAAACAAAAGGGTGAATGTTGATTGAATTAATATTTTTTCTTTGATTAATTTACAGATCGCCAGTTAATTGAGGGCTGAAGAAAAAAAATAAAGGCTTTACGATAGCCAACTATCAATCAACCGCCCACACTAATTAATTTGACATATAAGTCTGAACAGAATTGAAGTCCAAGCAGTCAAGTCCAACAGCTGCCACGGAAACGGCATAGCATATCAGGCTTTACTCTCAAAAATAGTAGGAGGCAACAACTAAACGTACAACACACATACACACACATACCCACACAAAATGCAGTGCGGCCTAGAGCAAATGAACGACTGTGAACGCTCGCCGAACCGGACCAATCTCCGCGTCAACTTCAACGAGAAGGGTGCTGAGGTGAAGGAGCGACGCGAAAAGTTCCTCACCGCCAAATATGGTTCACATCAGATGAGCCTGATACGTAAACGCTTGGCGGTTGAGATGTGGCTGTATGATGAACTGCAGAAACTCTTTGATCCACCGGTAAGTTGGAAGAACGAGATTTGAGAGAAAGAGCGAGTGTGCATTTGGAGATGTGTAGCTCTGATTATGTTGCTGCTAACAACAATTATTATGGTAAATTTTCATGTTTTTTTTTTGTTTTTGTTTTTATATTCTTGCAGAGTGAGGCTATCGATGTGGATATAGATGAAATATTGGATATGGACACCGACGACATAAGGAGATCCCATTTGATTGTAAGTTAAACAATTTTTGCTAAAGGGGTTTGCAATTTGCTACGCATAATTTTCACCACAAGTGGCTATACTATATAATTATAGATGTACATATTATGTACTTGTACATAGAAGTGCCTCAGTTTTTTTTTTGCAAAATTCGATATGCAGATCGTATGTACATATGTATGCATGCAGTTTTATTGTAGCTGTAGTATGTTTGACGTTAGCCCCGGCATACTTCAAGTTGAACTTTTGGCTAAGGACTTTTACTTCTGCTATAACAGAGTTCTTTCATAGTAATTCTACGTTTTAAGCTTTTGAATATCCTATTGAAGGATACAAATTTTAAAAGGTCAACTTCGGAGCAGCAGTATGCTAGGCACCAATGATCGACATATCCTAACAGGGCAATTCGGACAACTGTCTGACAACTCACCACAATCTGCTAACGACAAGGTCTTAGCATTATTCTGTTTGTCTTTTAGCCATAAGTTTTCTGAAATATCAAGGAAATAAATTATATTAAAATAAATAATAAGTAGGAAATTTTATGGAAACAGAAAATTAAATTAATGTAAAGAAAAACTAAATAAAATTATTTTCTAAAATTATATGAAATTTAGAAAAAATATATCACTTTTTAAAACAATAAAATTTTAAATTTAAAAAAAAAATCCATTAAAAAAAGGAAAACAAGAATTCAGCTGAAAAAAATACATAAAATAAGTTTCTAAAAATTAAATGAAATTAAAAAGTACATATAATAAAATTTAAAAATTAAAAGAATAGTAATTTAAAAAAAGGAAAAAAAGGAAATTACGAAAAAAAAATCCTGCTGTCCGAGGATTCGAACCTCGGATCTCTCGAATGGCATGACAGTGCTTTGCTCACTCGGCCATTGCCACTGTTGGAGCAGCGCAAGCAAAATGCATTTGGAAGATGCTCAAGTGCTTTTTGTATCAAAATATCTTTTCACCATAGAAGTTGGCAAGAGAGCTTTTTTGTGTAAGACTTTCGTGCCAGAATAAACCAAATCTTTCAAACCATCTTGCCTACTGTCGTTCAATTGTCTTACAAACAATTTTCAACTGTCTTAGCCAGAATTTCCCTGCAGGCCCGTCTAGAGGGGAGGGGATCGGTGGTGTTTTCTCTCGAACCCGGTTTTTTAAAGAGACCCGGATTTCTCTGAAAATTAAGTTGGAAAATAAAAATTCTAAAATTTTTTATAGTTGATAAATTTTATTATTCAATATTCATATAAAAAGTTACATTTTTAAATTTCAGAACGCACACTAAAACACGAAAAACTATTTTACGCATTCAATTGATCTGTACCGAAAAAAACAATTCTCTCTTTAGACGAAGTTTTTTAACGAAAAAAATCATACTCCACATACTACGCAAATAGCACCGAACAAGTATGGAGTAGAAATCGTTAGAGATTCATTAAAAAATTTAAAATTAATCTGTAGTGGGGCAGGCACATTTTTACTTACCCTCCGAGGCCGGATTTTCTCTCGACGGCCCTGTTGCCTTATATTTCTATTATCTGAATGTTGATGAATTTAATTTTCCTTTAATTATTAGATTTCATTTTCTTACAGAGAAAAATATATATTTTTTTATTTAATTTAATTTTTAGAATCTTCTTTTAGTTATTTATTTAAGACATTTTTGCTTTGAAAAGAAAAAGATTTTTTTTTTTTAATATCATAAAGTTTTTAGAAACGTGTTTTATTTTTTAATTAAATATTTTTTATTTTTTGCCATTTAACCAACAAGAGTTGGTTTTAGATTTTATTGTTTTGAAAAGAAAAATATATTTTCTTTTATTTCATTTAATTTTTGGCATCTTCATATTATTTTTGTTAATCTTATTTCTATCTTTTCCAATTTTGTTTTTAGAAGTGGTTCTAAAAATTATATTCTCTTTATTTGATTTGATTTTTAAATATTAAATTCTTTTTTTATTTAATTTAATTTTCTTTTAATTCCCACTTTTTTTACTTAATTTATATTTTATCTTTCGAAAAACTGTGACGAGTTGAAAGACATTTGCCAGAGTTGCCCTGTAAAGCTACTTATTAATGTATAAAAATCATATTGCTACTTAAAATGCATATTAAAATTCATTTGTAATGATTACGGCTCGGAATCTCATGCACTCAAAATTCAAAAATATGCGCCATAAACAAGTAAAATATGCAATTAAAAATATATTTTTTTACTTATTTAATTTGGTTTTAGTTTATTGTATTCACTTAGTTTACTCATTTATGGTTAATTTTTTGTAGTTCTTTAACCACTTTCAATATTTTTAAAAACACTATTGTATTGCCATGAATTTGTTCGTTGCAAAATTTACGATATTATGACAATACGACTCATTACAACACAATGCGAGTCCTCAAATTTTTAAATATTCTTTTCTCTTTTAGCGGCTCCTTTCGGTCTGCAAACGCCCACAGTCGGACATATCGGTAAGCTATTTATTGTAAACAAATATTTGAAGCTTTAATATTGTATTGACGTTTGTTTTATTCTTTTCCAGAAATTCATAAGTGATTTACTTGATCGTGCAAAGACGCTGTAAATTAGCTGCGCTGGCGCGTTTGTTACTTTAGTTTTTTATGTGTAATTCCACGCAAAAAACGAATATATAAATTATAAATTTAGTTAAAACAAAAAAAAAACTAAAACATAATTCAGTTGATATTAGCGTTTAGCTCTCTACAAGTATATAATATTTTTTAAATTTATTGATCTTATTTGATTTTATTTTCTTTATCAGAAAATCAATTTAGTTAATTTACTTTAATTGTATTTAACCTTATTTATTACTAAGCACAAACGATAATTTAAATGAAAAAACTTTTGTATCAAGTCGCATAATATAAATAACACATTAGATTTTAATCGGTTACATAGTAAACACGAAACAAAGTGAAAATAAAAACAAAAGTGTAGTATAACCAAAAAATATTCATACAAGCTAAGTCTAATACTAGATTACAGAAATTATAGTCGCATTAAAATTAAGGCAAAATAAAAGCAAGACAACACAGAACAAGAAGAAATCTCAAACCAAAAGAAATTCGCGAAAAATAAAATTAAAATAAAGAATCAAATAAATAACTTTAATTTGTATGTGAGGCAAAGCTGACGTTGATTATTGTATATCACTGTATTTATACAGTATGGTGGTAAAAATAGGCTCTGAAGTAAAACAAAAAAAAAAAAAAAAAATCTTAATTGTATTCATCAAAAAAGTCATCTCACAAACTTCATACATATTTACATTTAATGCTTAAAATACACTTGTATGTACGCAATTTATTTGCAAGATTAAAATAACAGACTAGATTACAAGCACTCAGCTTTGAGAAATAACAAAGTAACTTACATTTTTGGTTTCTTTTTTAAGCGTGAAAATTTTTAAGTCAAACCCTAACACTTTAATGACAAAGAAAGAGGCATTAAAGCGCAGTAAAAATAGCGTTATTTTCCCCGATGAGCATACTACCAATTTTCCAAAAGTGTGCTTTTAATCAAAAAAAAAAAAATAAATCATAATCTTTGGAGACAAATTGTCCAGCTTTGATGAAATCATTTCGTAGAATTATCAGACAATTACTTTGGAAAACGCTTCTATGTTATTGCTAAGCAAGTTTGTGTAATCTATTATATGTAGTATATTGATTTGAATTACAAAATAATTAGTCATTGTAAATCATTTGAATGTCTGTATGGGTGAACGCGATTTTGTAAATTAGAGTTGATCACCGAATTAAAAGAGAAAGCTCAGGTTCACTGCCAAATGAAGTATTTATGTATGTGTGTATAACACGATGCATGTATGTATGTATAAAGTGTATACAAGTACATATAAAAATGATTATGTACGCGTGTGAAGTAAACAACTTTAACTTTAAATTGAAGCCAAAACTTATACTTGCTACGAGTACAGCTGTTTTTTGTTTTTTTTAAATAAAAACATAGGTTCGAGGTCTAAAATAATTTATGGTGCTACCAAGCATCTAAAGCGCTATTCAGAGTTTTGTGAAATTAATTTCCTTTTTTTGTTCTAAGTTTCCTTTCGACATTTTACCAAATTTTTATAGACTCGAGTTAGACGCTTTATTTATGCATTTAAATTTAAGATGCTAATGCTAACGTTCTTTTCGATGGAGCTGATACGAACTTATTTCCGCAAGAACTGACATTTGATGGCGGGCGGAACGATGCATTTCCGGAGTGTTGCCATATGTGAGTTTTTCGCAGAGGATGTTTAAAATTAAAACAGAGGTTTGAAATTAGATTGCACCTTCCAGGCGGCGATGACGTTTCTCAAGTAAAAATAAACAAAGCCGATTTCGATTAAAATGTAACATTTTTACTATTTTACTCAAAAGCTGTACAATTTTTGCGTACATATCATTTTATTTGCTTGAAACTAACAATAAATTTTCAGTTTATTTTTTATAAAAGTAAATATACATATAGGTATAAAAATAAAAAAAAAAACTACTTCAAGTTGATATCGGTTGGTGATACGGAAAAAAACAGAAATATTATCATTTCGAAATTCGCCATTAATATTGAGAATGGAACTAAAATCCAAAGACAGAAATTTGCAACACCACCGTTACAACGCAAAATAAATAATTACATTACATTTATGAAATCAATTTTTACTAAAGATGTCGGAGCTTTACTAATTAAGAGATCCAAAATTTTTGATTCGTGGGAAAACGCAATCAATCAAACTTCGTCACACAAAATGAAAATTTTTGAATTATATACATATTGTACGTTTTAAAGATTTAGTTTAAAGTAGTCATGAAATAAAATAAAACTACAAATTATTGATTAGATTAAAATGGTACCATTTTATGGAACCCTGTACCAAAGTACCATCGATGAAAAAATATACGCCTTCTTGTACCAAAGTATCAAGTCTGGCAACCGTGTTTCCGAGGTGGCGTTTAATTTTACTTGAGTAGCGGTGCCACTGACGGCGCCACCTTTGTTCTCTACATCTTGGGTTTGACTTGTGTGCTATAAAGGGTGTTTCAAAAAGCATTATTTCGTAGTTTGAAAGATAAAATATTTGCTTAATAAACGAAACAAAAAATTTTAAAATTTTTATAAAAATATTTTAGAGTTTTCTAACTTTCCATTTTTGGGCTCACAGAATTTTTGGAAAATCTAACATGTTTAGTAATCTTCGGATAGAGTTCTGAAAAATGTTTTACAATTTTTAATTAATAGCACCTGTACTCAAGATTGAATAAATTAACATTCAAAAAATCGGCACTTGACCGAAGCTGGCTTGTCAGGATACGTTAAGTATGAATGTGAAAATGAGGATATAATCCAAACCAATCGTATAACCGCATACATATAAAATTTGATCATATGGAGCCCTAACCACAAAAAATTGTCCTAGTAACCATTTGCATAAAAAAAGAGATTTTTTTTAGCGGTTAGGACTCTATATTGAAATACAAAATTATATTGATTTATATAAGCTTCACTTCACACACACATAAACGCATATAGCAATACATATATACACACATATTTGTATGAATTCTTAAAACACATAAAACCCAATAGGGGTATTCTCGAAGTCTTACAATGCCCTTGCACGGTGCACGGATTGCACGGTAAAAACCGGTTTCCTATGGGACAGCTTTGCAAGGCCTTTGCAAGATTCCGCGAATACCTATCTAATAAGTTAAATAGTAATGTCATAATGAAAATTATACTTTCAAAAAAAAATAAAATAAAAAAATGTTTACATTGTACAGCTACATACTGTGTATTGTAAAGCGTAAGTGTAAAATTATAAAGCGATAAAAAATCTAGTGAAACAACTAGTAAGTTATCTCAATGACACTTTTATCATGATAAGATATGCGATGTCAGTTTATGTATATAGTATATATAATGCGACAATGTGTACTAAAAAGCTACGATGGAATAATTTTTGCCATTTGCTTATAAATTATTTATATGCTAAACAATGAAAATCTATTTCTTTTGATATGTAAACAAAAAATGATTAAAAACTATATTACACATAGCAACGAAATCGCATTGCCGTTTTTTTTTTCTTCAAAACGATTGGGGAATTCTCTTAAAGACGTAAGACTGGAAAACTCCGAACTCAATTATTTATTTCGTGGAAAATTTTCGCCAACGGTTGTAAGACTTTTAAGGTTTTCGCGGTTTTATTCCGTTTAAGGGAATACCCCTAATTAAATATTTTGCTCAAATTAAGGCTTTCGGCTACTCAAAAAACTTTGCCACATCAAATCAAATACATATATGTATATTACAAGCTGCACTAAGCAAACTATTTCTAATAATAAGCCACTTTGGTTTTAAAACTAAATATAAAAGTACATAAATCTCAAACACACATATTTAGCTATTGAAAGCTTGTCAGCCACCACTATTCAAAGTAACTTTAATGTAATCCAAGCCAAATGAATCAATTAAAATATGAACGAAAAACAAAAAACTTCAAGATCAAAGTACATATCGTTGCCTAAACGTGAAAAGGTGCAAAGCTCATTTTTTTTTTTTTGAAATTTCTCGAGACAGACGAAAAATCGCTGTAGTTTCGGCCTTTTCCGTCGCTCTGCATCAAAGACTAAATTTTGGAAAAAAAGTGGACTGGGCACCTTTTCACCTTTAGGTAGCGATATGTAAACTCTCCTAATTTTACTAAGTACTTATAAGTCGAAAATACGAAGATACTCATCTAGCAGTTACTTTAAAGAAAAAAATGAAATGTGTTTTGTTTTCCCTTCCGAACCCTTCAACTTTCGATTGGAGTGATTTCTTGCCCCAAAAAGCAATTAAAGTATTCGAAAAACACTACAACATACACACTTAAAAAAGCACGCATTAGTTTGTAAAAAAACAAAAAATATGCAAAAATATTATAAAAAAAATCACTTATTCTCAACAACTTACAACAATTACATACAAATATGCATAAACAGTATGATAGGTTTGTATGGAAATAAGCATAAACTATTCAATAAAAATATAAGCATAAATGCAACCGTAAATTTAATCATAGATGCAAATAAAGTGTAAAACGAATACTTAGTAAGGTATGTTATAAGGATGAAACTTTGTAATTGATAGTAAATTTTGAGAAATTAAACATTAATTGCTTTGAAAAATGTCTGGTCTAACTTTTATTTAAAAGGTAAAAAAAAATAATGGTAAGTATGTAGTATTCACAACAGCCCTATTCCCGCTCCTCAGTCACAAAATTCACCGCTGTGCCTATCGTTGATGCAGAAAATCTGAAACTAGCTCTCAAAACGCAATATTTTTAAGTGGTGCGCTGGTTTCTTAAATGTTTCCATAGGAATTCACTACACTCATCAAGGCCTCTTCTACCGCACAGGCACTCAAGTGCCTCAAGGAGTGTTTTCTCAAAAACGAAAATAAAAACAAAACTGTCGAGAACGTTCTCAACGGGAATTACATATATGAGAACCAAACTCTGTGGAACGATGCCAAATGGAACAAAATTTTTACAAAAGTCTAAGGAACTTTCTCTCAAACAACAATTTGGGGACTAAAGTCTTAAAAACTTCCTGACAGAACGAAACGGGGGAAAATCTTCTCTGAACTCATAGCGTTGCATAAGTTTGAAATGTTTGAATATTAAAATTAATCAAAAAAAGGAACTTACGAGACAATAATGCAAATAAAGAAAACGAAAGACTTAAGACACGAACTTTGCTTCCAAAGAAAATTAAAAATTGTTCTATAAATGGACAGTTCACCCTAATGATAAACCATCTGGAAAGTGCAATGATCCAGCTTTCCTCTGGCTTAGAGTTAACAATCTTAGTTCTCACAGAAACGGTTTTTCCTCCCAACCCAATACGTAGACGCTGCTCTCATTCCCAACATTAAGTTCTCAACGCATTTGTTCTCGTTTTGATTTCTAGCAGATCGTTTCCCAGACTTTTGTTCTTATTTTATTCTCCGTTAAATCGTTACCGATACTTTCGTTGTCATATCTTTCTCATTGGAAACGTTACCGAAAGTTGCCTTATCATTATGTTCTTCTTGAGAACGTTTTCGAGAGTTTTGTTCTCATTTTGCTCTTTTTGAACGCTGCTACAGAGTACTAAAAAGTCAGTTGTGAAACAGAGAGCAATTGTGTAAGCAAGTTTTTTAACGCGTTGTAATTGCTTTAACGATTATTATAAAGTGTTTGTTGCACAATAAAATTAATTGTACTGTAATTTGGCATGAACCAATTGGAACAGAAGTGACCGGTTGAGAAGCAGCTTTTTGCAACAGCATTTGAGAAAAAAGTGTGTGAAGTTCGTAATTTTGAAGTTTGCTATTTCTGTTTAATTTTTTACATCCCTTTTCTTTATGTGTATTTTGGTGCTGGTTCATTTTAGTACTTTTTAAGCGAATTTTAATAAGCTTTTTGTTCAAGTGTAATTAAAATGAAGTGCGTAGTAATTGGTTGTAAAAACACGTACAAAAATAATAAATTGGTTAGCACAAAAATGCGCTCAAAAATTGCTTTCATTTTTTTCTTTATGCTTGGTCTTCACGGAGAGGAGGAAAGGAGAGGGGCACCGTGCTCGGGCCACACGCTTTGAGCTCTCGTTCGTCTGTGTAAATTGAAGTAGCGGTTCACAGCTGACAACCAAAATTGCATACAAAAAAGTCGCCGGGTGTAAATAGGTTATAACAAGAATTATCCAACACTCAAAATATCAGAGAGTAAGGAAAAATTCGCTCAAATTCGCTCTCATGCTGAGAAACTTGCAAATTTCTGCACAAACACAATTTTGCAGGAATTCGCAAGTTTCTCTGCCAGCTGGTGTCCACGGTTGCATTTCAAAAATAATATATTTTTATAGAAATTTTAAAATTCTTTCAGATGGAAAAAGGACATACATACATGTATATTTCTTGTTGTTCTGACTTTCTTTAACATACATTTCAATTTCTTTATCGTACTAGATGTCGGGTTTCTTAAATCGACTCTGGTTGCAATTGCATTCCGATTGCGAATACAATTTTTTGTCAGCCGAGTAGTGTTCAAATCATTGGAATTAAATAAATTAATTATATCAAAACTATTTACTTCCTTTTTTCATAAAAAATCGCTCGTGTTTATAAGTTTTTAAATTTAACGAACTTATTTATTCAAATTATCGTAGACCAAAATGCAACCATGCGCCACAATCACATGTTTTTCGTGTTTGCAAATTCTTGCTGGCAAAATTTTTTCGTGCAAGAATTTGGAACTTCTCTCCAAGAAGACTGTCACTTTGCTCTCACAATTTTTGAAAAAATCATGATAATTCGTACAAATTCGTACAAGTTTTTTGCTCGACTACGAAACCTAATGAAACGAGCAACACCAAAAGGGAATGTGAAAAATCGCGTCGTCAAAAGTTTCCGTGTATAAACACAGTCTAACAATACATTTAGAGCTCTTTACCTTCAGAGCTTCAAAATATTTGCAGCTGCGTCCAGCGTGGGCGTTTTTCTTAGATTCAAGAAAAACTTATAAATTTTTTCCTGACTGTTTATATGTCAAATTTTTCTTCGTTTTGCAATCTTTCTACAACTCCTGTCAAACGAAAGCAAAACCCAAAAATGGTGGTTTAAATCTACACTGCAGTCTCTTATGATCGCGTAAACTAAAGGAACTTAAAGAACTTTTCTATCCGACTGCTTGACACCTGGAACATAACGAAATTTGATTTCCTTTTTTAATGTGCCTTATTTGAGCGCATAGTGGGAAAAATCTTTTTGTGTCAAAAATTTGTTGGCAAACGATTGTCATTATACAATGATTTGGTTTCCATTTCTTAAAGTTTTGCGATTGTTATTAAGTAAGCTTCGTTTTTTTTAAGATAGAAGCTGAAATTAGTCAAGAACGTAAACCTACCGGTACGTAAACCCAAGTCAGCTGACACGATCTGTCTTACCAAAGCGCCATGTAAATGAAAACTCAACACCGCAGAATTTTTCTGTAGTTGTAGCCCGTAGCGCAGAAATCTGCGGAATTTAGATTTTTCCGTGTCAGCTGATTTCTTCCTTCTTTAGATGGTTGCCACTTTGTCAGTTTTGCAGATGGTAAAAAAGTTATAAGTTCCTATTCAAAATACTGTTACGATTATCCTCGAAACCTTGAGGGATTTCCCAAATATACTCG